AGATTATAATAAATTGTTCTTAAAGCATTAGATTCAGTTCCTTTAATTACAATTCAAAAATATGCACAAAAATCATGTAACAACGGTTCCCGTTTCCCTAGTACCACGTTTTTAAAATAGATCAGCTGGCGATTGGCCAATCAGCATAAAATCTATGGCTTATATATGATAAATTGTCAATATCAGATCAATTATTCGGTTTCGCCCAAACTGAACTTTTTGTATAAGATGTCGAGCAGAAATTCTAATGAGGCTGAAGAGCTAGTATCTCAGGCTAATGATAAGGCGCAAAAAGGGTAATAATAATATGATCACATAATGCTTACCTCGAGATAATGCTAAAACACGGATTTTTCCATAGCCATACTTCAAAGTCCGGAAAGAAATCTGCTCCGAAAAAGCCTTCTAAAAAAGCCGAGGGTATGCTTTAAAATTGGTTCAAATAATCTTTTAGATAACATACTTAATTCGGTCGCTTTTCATAGCACATATTGAGGGAGCTTCTCAGCTTGGTGTCGAGGTTCGAAAAGAAGTAGACTTTTCTCTCTGGTATAAGCAGGTATAGTTTTCGATAAAAATTTCTATTAATAATTTTGAAAGATGGATTAAAATTTTATTTGATCATTTTCAAGGTATTGAAACGTTCAGAAATGCTAGAATACTATGAAGAAGTTTCCGGATGTTATATCATAAGGCCTTTAGCTTATAATATATGGCAAGAAATTCAAAGTCAGTCAGTCATATTGATTAATTGAATTATTAAATTTTTTTTTTTTAATAAAAAACAAAAACTGTTCTAACGTACGCTTGATATTATCGATAGATTTTTTTGATGCCGCCATTAAAGAGATGGGAGTCGAAGATACTTATTTTCCGATGTTTGTGTCACAACGACAATTAGAAAGAGAAAAGGATCATATTGAAGGATTTGCCCCTGAGGTCGCTTGGGTCACCAAAGCGTTTGTAATCTAATTAAATTTTTTTTATTGATAAAAAAGTTATCGAGAAAAGAAAATATAAATTTCCAAATTTTAACAGGGGTTCCAACACAATGGAAAGCCCTATTGCGATTCGTCCAACTTCCGAAACAGTAATGTATCCATATTTCGCCAAATGGATTAGAACTCATCGTGATTTACCATTAAAACTTAATCAATGGTGTAATGTTGTTCGATGGGAATTCAAAAATCCGCGTATGTTTTTCAAGTATTTTTTATTTTATTTTGGTTATTAAAACGTGTAATTATCAACTTTGTTATTAGTTCTCATTTTTTTCACCACTTATTTTTAGAACCTTTTATTAGAACACGTGAATTTTTGTGGCAAGAAGGTCATACTGCACATTTTACCAAGGAAGAAGCTGATACTGAAGTATATCAAATTTTAGAGCTTTATCGTCAAGTGTATGAGGATATGCTTGCATTTCCTGTAATTAAAGGAATTAAATCTGAAAAGGAAAAATTTGCTGGTGGACTTTATACTACTACTCTTGAAGGTTTTATTCCAACCACAGGTCGCGGAGTTCAGGCCGCTACCTCTCATTGTTTAGGTCAAAATTTTTCGAAAATGTTTGATATTGTTATTGAGGATCCTAGTGCCCCAGCAGGTCCTGATGGTAAAGATGCCAAGAAAATGTATGTCTGGCAAAATTCTTGGGGTATTAGCACTCGTGCTATTGGTGTGATGGTCATGGTTCATGGTGACGATAAAGGTTTGGTTTTGCCTCCTCGTGTTGCCGCAACTCAAGTTGTTGTCATTCCCTGTGGTATAACATCAAAGACCACGGAAGATGAGAAAAAATGTGTTGAAGATAAAATAAATTATGTAGTTAAAGAGATGAAGTCATCTGGGATCAAAGCCAAAGCAGATCTAAGAGAGAATTATTCACCAGGTTATAAGTTTAATCACTGGGAATTGAAAGTGAGTACAATAATATTTTTATATAGTTTATATCTTGTTACCTCATTCTGTTTAATATACATTTATTTAGGGTGTTCCGATCCGTCTGGAAATAGGTCCACGCGACTTATCAAAACAGCAAACACTTATGGTTCGCCGTGACAATGGCGTTAAAGAACCTATTCCTTTAGCAGATCTCACTTCACGAATCTCTGATACTCTTAAATGTATTCAAAAAGATATGTTCGACCGCGCCAAAAAGGTTTATGATGATCATGTAAAATTAGTTTTAAAATGGGATGACTTTGTTCCAAACTTGGACAATAAAAATTTCGTTCTTGCTCCTTGGTGCGAAGAAGAGAAATGTGAAGATAGCATAAAAGAAAAAAGTACCAGACAGTAAGTACATTAAGTTCTAACGTTTTAAATATCGAGGTTTAAACTAAATGACAACTTATATTAAATTCATAGCAACACTGAACAAGAAGCAGAAGATGAGAAAGCTCCATCAATGGGTGCCAAAACTCTATGCATTCCTCTTGAGCAACCCAGTGATCCTCCAATCATTCCTGGTGAAACAAAGTGTGTTTCTTGTGGTGGATTAGCTAAAAGATATACTTTATTTGGCAGAAGTTACTAATTAGATTTAATAATAATTTATAAGCATAAATATTTATGTGATAATTAAATGATAGATATATTATATGATAGTATAATGTATATTATTTAAACTAAAAGTATAAGATAAAATAATAATGAAATTTTTTTTATTGATCTTAATATATAAATATATTTAAAATATTTATAGTCTTT